GAATGGAGAGCACCAGGAGAGAACCATCCAAAGCGACCTAAGCCGCCGGAAAGTTATGATATCTATAGTTTTTGACTCACAAAAATTATTTTCATTGTAGCGATTAAAGACCGAAATTTGTTCAAGAAAAATGTACAAAATGGGCTTTGAATTGCCTCCGCACACATAGCCCTTAGCTATTACCACCTTTTTTTCTGATCAAACAAATGCTCCGTGGTAGGAGATATCGCACCTATAAGGAAGTAATCGCTGAAACTGGAACTTATTTTAAAGGCAAAGCTAAATCGTTTACAAGGGCGGCATCGAAAAATTTAAAAAAGTTTTGAAATGGGTGAATCGCAGCTAAAGGAGCTAAAGGATGTTGTTTTATTAGTTGACCGACTGGAGCTTTGAGTATAATGAAACAATTAAAATACCAGAAAAATTATTAACAAAAAATTTGAAAAGAACGCGTTAATAAACACACTTAGTCTCAGAATAAAATAAAACTTTTAAATATATATCAAACTAGAATACTAAAAAGTTGGAGTTGAAAATGTGTTAATATAGACACGTGCATTATGTCATGATAGCAAAAATACGTAGAAATAACATGCAGTAAGATTAGCAAAGTTAGTAAAATCTCACTTAGAAGATTATTCGAAAGATAATACATTTAGACATAAACTGTTCTACTTCAAGCTACAAATTTTTTTTATTTTATTAATTCTACTTAATTTTCACTCATCAACTTTTTGCATTATTAATTATTTACTATTTTAACTAATGGTAATGTTTATTATTTTAATTGATTTTCTCGAATTTGTTTTCTTATATTAACCAAATATTTAAGCATCAAAATGACGACAGTTTGCTTCTAACAATCATAAAAAACCCAATTAGCTCGATTGCATGTTGGTTAAATATTATCATTATATATTTACGACTATTACGGAAGGATCCAACCTTTGAACGTCCATCAATATGTAAAATACGTATTTAACAATAATAACTACTTAAGAAATCATGTACAATATGATAGTCACTTTTATGGTTGATTTTCATACTAAAACTAATACTGGTTGTACACAATTTCCGTTTTGTAACCAATAAGAGACCGAATGAACTTATTTATGTCTGTAATCTATATTGAATACTTTGTCTATGTATTTGTGCGTAATACAGAAAATATAAACGTGGATGACAACCAACGCAATGAACCAAATACTTTTATACTACCACAATAACATAAATATTTGCATAGGCTTAGAATAAGAAAACGGAAAAAAACTGTAGGAAACCCAAGGCGAAAAACAGCCAACTTTACTTCAGTTTTACTCAGATAACTTGATTAATATGTTTAAGTTATTGCAAAATATGGTACTATCTGGATATCATGTATCTAATTTTTTTAACTTGCTACTCTAAACTAATTAATTGATCTGCATTATTACCAATCACATAGAATTTCCAACCCAGAGTTCTGCCTTCGGCCAACAGATCTGCATTTGTTGTATCTTTCCCTGTATTATAAGTCTCAAAATTTTATATTTTGATCACCTTATCAAGTGGTTTAGTTACTCCAGTTTTGTTGTTTGTATAGTGGTGATTAGCTCTGTTAGTTTACCAACCCTCTCCAGCACATCTTTATTTGTAATTTTATCAGTCTATTATATTTTTATTAATCGGCAGTATAACCAGAGTTTGAAAGTCTCTATTCTTTTTAAATTGCATATTGTTAATATATAATATAGGAAATATATAATATCGAAAGGTACGTACTCTGTTTTCCAAAATAAAATTTCTGCACATTGCAAGCGGCTTCATTCGTATAAAAGCTGATCTGGCAATCTCTATTCGTTTGTTTATTTCTGCAGTATTATCATTCATTCCTTTTATCAAAGTTCTAAAGTACGGATATTTTTCTGCTTGTTCTAATACTTCTTCTTCTTCTTCTTCTTATGTAGACATGGCTGTTTTTCAATGTGCCTCCAGTAAGTTGTCGTTTCATCGTTTTCGTGGTCTTCCTACTGATCATCTTCCTATTGGGAAACCGTCTCTTGCCGTCTTTGCTACTCTATTTGTTGTCATTCGTAGTGTACCGTACGTTATAAATCATCTTCACTTTGAAAGAGTAGTATTCCGTCGTCTGCATAGCAGAATAATTTAGTTTGTTTTTCTCCTATTTGGTCTTCACAATATTAATTAAACAAAAGCGATGATAAAACAAATCCCTTTACAGATTTAACTCCTCCTTTAACTCCTCTACAGATCTTCATTTCTTCTGATTGTTGCTCATCAATTTAAACTATAACACTTTGGTTTCAATATAATGTTTGGATTATCTTTATGATTTTACTGTCAATGTGCTTAATTATAAGTATTGATATTAGTTTTTTATGTCTTACTCTATCGAAAACTTTTTGTAGTCAACAAAGCACAAGTTTACGTTAAATCTTACATCCCGACATCGCTGAATCAGTATTTTGATCGCAAATAATCCTTCTGGAGTACTTATTTAGTCCGGAATGTGAACTGCACCTCACTAATATCCTCTTTAACTTTTCATAGATTCTCTTGTGTATTACTGGAAGCAGTACTTATAAAGTATGACACATAGGGCTCAGTGTTCGATTGTTGGAGCATTTTTTTGCTTGGTACTTTTTTAGGGATGGTCGTAAATACTGATGTCTACCACACTTACGTTATTATTCCTGTGTATCTTACACCATGTTGAACAAATCTGTTAATACTTCCAAGTTATCCTCTTCCACTAGTTTTAACAGTTCTACAGATATTTTGTCTAATCCAGTTGCCTTATTATCTTTACAATTTTTGATAACATATTTTTCTTTATCTATCGTGATCTTTTGTCTCTCTAAATGATTTTGCAGATCTATTTGCAGAAGAGAGAGAAAGATGGAAACAAATCACGAAACAAAATTGAGAATTCAAGGTGGCACGATGTCTGAACGACTGACTAGGAAGAAGAAAAATATTATAATGAAGAGAACCAAATCAGGATAATAATCGTATAAGCAAATTATTTAAATCCTAACTAATGAATTGCCAAGCTGGTGCAGTATCTTGGAGAAACAATATTTTTTATCTGCTTATGGGACCATTTATCACTGATTCTTGTTTAAAATAGATGAATAATGAACAGTCAATTAATTTTATACCTTTTCAATACCAAAAGACAGTGGCCACAATATTTCCGACCCATTAAGCCACTCAGCTGTTTCGGAGCAAGTTTGTCGGCTTCAGTCCACTGGTTTGCCTTCGTTCTGTTCTATAGTTTGTATGGTAGTATATTCAGGTTTCATCAACAATACCAATTGAAGCCAAAAGTTAAACAGATTGCATTTCACAAGATTCAAACACGGCTAAGAAGTGGTGACACGATTAAATTTTTTGGGTTTGCCATTGCGCATAGGCAGAATAATTTTTTCATCTAAAAAACTTCGTTCAAAGTATGACTAGTGAACTCTTTACAAATTTTTGTGGCCTCTATCAATTCACGCTTCTACACTTTACGATCAGCTAAAACCATTTCATGGACTTCCTTTATATTTTTCGGTATAACTGTATCGGACGGCCGCGCTCGTCCAGAATATGGTCACTACGAAAGAATTCATGGAACCAAAATTTGACAGTATAGTGTGAAGAAACATTACTTTTATAGTATTTATCTAACATTTTTTTAATTTACTTTACTATTTATTTCTCAAATGTGTAACGAGAGATCGAAAATCGGTTTTCTTCGTGTGTGACATTATTCCAAATCAATCAAATTTATGTAGATGTTAAAAATCTACGAATAGCTGCATCGCGCTTAAATTTGACATATATGTCTAAAAAAAGATTAGACTGATTATAAATTAGACAAGATGCAAGAGTGGCTGACCCTACTGGCATCAAAGTTATCTTATAAAGAATATAAAAATATTAACCAAAAACAAGTAGAAGTTTTAAATAAAGTTTTAAGCATCACTAAGATGAACATATAAATAAAACGTATGTTTACAAAGAAACTACCCCAAAAGATATAGGTCTTCTAATCTAGGTCTATAAGTTATAATTTATAGACTTTGGTAACTTTTTCGACTGCGTAGTGCTTCGGTGTTACTAATATCATAATATCCAATTACTTAAGATCTTACAAACAGTTTTGCGTATTGCCATGAGCAAGACCAAATGCAATATAAAGGAATGTGCTGGGAAATGCACTGGCATACACGGCAATAGTGAAAAAAAAGAAAGATTAGACATTTTAGAACTAATATTTTTTAAGATCGCAGAGCCCTTACGACGAAGGGTAATTATGAGACCAATGGATATGTTTTTTAAACTTTTTCGTTTTGTTTTTTTTTTCTTGGAAGATTTCTCAGTTATACACATATTATATTAAAACCAATTGGTTTAACGTACATCTTTCATTAGTCAAAGATGCTCTTACCAGATTGATAGAACCTTGTATTAGCTTATACAGGTCAATTTCATTGCTACCATATGTTTTTGAAGTTAATTAATCACAAAAGTGTTCCTGCGATAGAATACCTTGCAGTCATGTAAGATATGATTAACTGTTTCACATTCTCTGCTATAGAATCTGCAGCTCAAGTCTCCTTTAAAACAGATGTGCAGATCTTCCAAACAGGTTTTAGGTCGAGATACGTTGGGCTTATTTTGCTTTGAGTGGTATTACGACGATTAAGTAGTACTATGAGTAGTTATTATTTACTTCGCACCGAAAGGCTTTAATGCAAAAGAAAGACTGAACATGGTTTATTATTCATATGGTTTATTAATATGTTTGGGATTAAAATATTTCATGGCACATTTAATTGTAAATTTTTAGGTACATAACCACCAGTCAAATGATTTGCTTTTTTCGAACATGAAGACCTTTATTATGTCTCACATAGTATTTATATTTTAGTTCTTACCTATTCAAAAGCAGTTACCCATATCATATTACTATTTGTTATAATTGTATTAATAATTATTAATTTTTTCAGAGGTATTGCCTGATGCTTTAAAAACCGAATGCGCAAAATGCAGTGACGCTCAAAAGAATGGTGCTAAAAAAATAATTACTCATTTAATCAAAAATAAGCGACAATGGTGGGATGAACTTGAAGCCCGCTTTGACGCCGACCACAGCTACGCAAAATCTCATGAAAAAGAACTGAAAGAACTTGGAATCGAATTGTAATTATTTATGATCCTGTTTAATTGAGTATTATGTTGTTGATTGTTTGATTAATTGTTAAATTGTAGATTTTTGATTATCTTAAATAAAAAGCAATGTATTAAATTAATTGTTCTTTTTTATTTATTAAGGTTTTTAAGACGTTTAGTGTATATGTCATAGGCATCGAGCAAAAAGACAAAAGAGGGAATGTAAAGGTAGTGGGGGCAAAAATATTGTTAGACAGGAAGTGCTATCATGAGAGGCCACATTAAACAAGGAAAGAGAGTCTTTCCTTGTTTAAGAAATTAAATTTAGTTGGGTTATGTTATTGTTTGTCCCAACTGTCACATGAAATCTTATTTATATTGAAGTTTTTTATCAATTGTGTCACATTTTAGACTGTTATCGTTAATATTTAATTAAAACTTTCTCGTCTAAGACACATTCTAAAAACTATTTTATAGCTACTGTTAATAAGTGTCGGAAAATTTAAATTTGGCGCATTCGCATTTCCGGATATATCCGCCATCAGAGGCCACTTTTTTGGTCTCCTTTTCATAACGATTAGATTCCCTCTTTTGTCTTTTTGCTCGATGGTCATAGGCAATCGGTTTAAAACGTCATTCCGTAAAAAGCCTAGTCATTACACGTATTGCCGGCAAACGCTGGCGCTGTATTACAATCATTTTTATTTTTTTGACTGAAATTATGCACCATTTCACGGACTACTATACGCTTTAGGCAAACGGTATTACCGTTCGAATGATTGAAAGTTACAGCGTCTGACGGTTGTAAGTTTAGTCATTTATTAAATAAAATGCAGAGTTATTAGTCTAGTCAACCTGGAGACAAACTCCTATTACCTATTTTACCTATTTTATTATTTATTTAAACAAGTGGCGCTATGATGGCATCTAGAATTGCACATATTTTTATATTTAAAGCACACACGATTTGTTTGGCATTGTTTCTTCTAAGGTTTGCAAGAACACCTCATATATCCCTGACCATGACGCAATGAGCGACAGATTTTCATACAGGAATATACGCCCAAAATTAACGCACCACCTTAAATGTACCATAAGTTTGAAGCTATTTTTCTTCTGAACGAATGATTGGATTTTGATGACTTTTTTTTATGTTATAGGTCTATTTCTAGTAAATCACTGTTTTAATGATTTCTAAAAAATATCAACGTTTTATCCGTATACGGGGTGTAAAAATAAAGTTGTGTTTTTTCATCGTAATTTGCAACACCCTGTGGAATTTATTAGAAAGAAACGCTACATTTTATTAATATTTTAAAACAGATTTGTCCTTTCTTAATATTTTCGTAAAAAAATTATCTTAATATCTCTATTATTAAAGATTGTACAGAATTTTAAATGTAACAAGTTTTTATTAACATTTAAAGCAAAGAAAACATTACTTACATAAACTTTATTGACATTTAGTACAAATAAAGCCTAAGAAAACATAACCTAAATAATCTTTAACAATTCCCTCTCCTAAAAACACTTAATAACGGGTATTTCCACCTCTACATCTAATTACTTCTTCACAGCGACGAGGCATACTTAAAATCAAGCGGCGTATTTGGTCTTGATCAATTGCATTCCAAACTTCTCTTACCATAACTTCTATGTCGTCAAGAGAGACAGGTGGTGGTTGTCGGCTCCTGAGTTGACGATCAATAATATCCACAAATTTCTGGGATTGAGATCAGGCTGCAGGTGGCCAGTTCATGGTTTGTATTCCAACCTCGTCCAAATATTCACGTGCAACATGTGGTCGAGCGTTATCATGCATTAAAAGAAAATTATTTCCTATATAAGGAGCAAATGGAACTACATGGTTAGACAAAATGTCTGTAATATACCTTTCACTTGTTAAGGAACCTCTTCGTAAAGCAACAAGTTCCGTTCGCGCTGTAAGAGACATTCCTCCCCAAACCATTACAGATCCTCCATTGAATAAAGTAATAGGTCGTATATTGCACTGTGCGTAGCGTTCTCTTGGCCGTCGAATAACTCTCACACGTCTATCTGAGCTATATAAGCAATACCTTGATTCATCAGTGAACAACACGTGCTCCCAGTCATTAATATTCCAGTCAAGGTGCTCTCTGGCAAATTGTAATCTACTTCTACGATGATTTACGTTTAAAGCTGGTGCTCTGACTGGTATTCTTATATGCAGATCTTGTTCAGCGAGACGCCTTTGTATAGTGTTTCTACTAATTTGAATATTATGAACATTTGCCACTTGTATTTGTAAATATCTCATTGTGAGAAAACGTTCTCTTATAGCACGAAGCCTGATAAACTGATCTTGACGTGGTGTTGTGAGTCTTCCTCTTCCTTGTCCACGCCGTCTCGTATGGTCGTTTGTTTCTCGAAAACGTTGAATGACTCGTGATATTGTAGTATGAGATACTCCTAACCTCAAGCCTATTTCACGATAACTTAACCCTACATCAGCTAAAGTAATTGCCTGAACACATTCATCTCGGCTTAGATTTCTTGAAATACGGTCCATGTCAACTATATAACATACGCAAAATAGCAAAACAATTTTTTGAAATGTAAACAATATTGACAGTTTAAAACTGTCCTGTCAAATTGTTTGATTTTTCATAGCCAACTAACTGCTTCCATTAATGAGTATTACAATTCGATAAAATCATGTTATGCTTTGAAAGTACTTTTCTTTTTGATAATAAAGAAATCAATGAATTTTTTACGAAAATGTTGAAAAAAAATAAGTTTTTTCGAAATATTAATAAGACGTTTGCTTGTAATAAATTCCACAGGATGTTGCAAAATAAGGTGAAAAATCAAATTTATTTTTAAACCCCGTATATGGGTGAAACGTTGACATTTCCCAGAAAACATTAATACAGTAATTACTTAGAAATAGATCTGCAGTGCGAAAAAAAATCATCGAAATCCAAATAAGGATTCAAAAGAAAAATAGCTTAAAAATTATGGTAGAGTTGAGGTAGTGCGTTAATTTTGGAGAGTAGAAAATCACGTAATTCTTTGAACTTACTTTTCTTTTTTGATAATAAAGATATTGAGATGATTTTTTTACGAAAATGTGGAGAAAGAATGAGGCAATCTTGAAATATTAATAACATGTAGCGTTTGTTTCTAATACATTCTACAGGGTGTTGCAAAATTAGACAAAAAAACACAACTTTATCTTTACACCCCGTATATAGGTAAAAAGTTGACATTTCTCAAAAAACATTATTATAGTAATTAATTAGAAATATACCTATAATGTGAAAAATAAATTATCGAAATCCAATTAAGGGTTCAAAAGAAATATAGTTTCAAAATCATGGTCCATTTTAGGTGGTGCGTTAATTTTGGAGAGTAGTATATTTATCCGGCACTTGTGTGTTTAAAAACTGACTATCTCCTGTAACAATATCCGCACGATTATACCAACCTTTAATTTTACCGACTACAGTTCCTAGCTGAAAAACTCCATTTTTGTAGTCAACAATCGCAGACAGTAAATTTTGCATGTAGCTTGGGCCACAATCAATTTTTCCAACTGACAATAATACACAGTTTCCAATCTTTAAAGGTGGCAATTTTTTAGCAGTGTTTGTCAGCATTTTTTCAGTAGTTATTTTCTGTCCCAAATGGCAATCGTTTCTGTCTTTCACAATAGATGTTTGAATAGAACACTATACCCACGATAAATTCTTGTCATTTTTACAGTTAACACACATTACGATTTCTTGCGTTTCGTTAATGTTTTCGTATAGATCAGGCAAAGATTCAGAAGCAGCTGCAGAGTTGGCGGATTCATCAATTACTTCTATTATTATATTTAATTCCTGCAATGAGTTACTTGTGTCGATGGCCTCCTCCGGAAATGAATATCGCCTGGCTTTTATGGATTAAGAAATATTTCTAACTGTTGTTGTTCTAGTTCTTCTTATGTAGTATTAATTAAATCGGTAGCATGATAATCCGTTTTTTTCTTTACGTTCTTTTTACTTGACAGTATAGTAATACTTTAACAGTATTTCATTCGGGTTTCATTGGGATAACCCAATCTTTGGTTTAGTACCAAATAAAACTTTATATGTACTACGACCAATGATTCTATTAAAAGAACTTGTTTTTAAACTGAACAAATTAGCAGCCGATTGACCAGTTGGCGGATTTATTATCAAGCATCCACGAATGCATCATACTTTCCACATCTTGATAACATTGTCACTTTTAAAGATAGCAGATGTACCACATTTAAGGAAAATTTTTAGTAATTCCGAAGCCACTTTAATACATTGCTTAGATTTCAATGGGCGTCGAAAGCTAAACTTTGTTAGGTGATCTTGATAATTTAATAACCATTTGTAGTCTCTAACCTGACATAATTGGTAATCAATCAAATCTATTTGAGCCCGAGAGCAAAATTATCTTGAAATTTTAGGCTTGGTTAAAAGATTGACAGGTTTCTTAGCGTTTTTCAGGTTACAAACTTCACAAGAGCTTAAAAATAATTCTATAATTGGTCGTGAAATGTGATATTTAGATTTCACAAAAAATATCATTTTATTTCTGGACCCATGCCCGATAAAAATATGCAAAGAATATAATATGTCAAACAAATCTTCATACGAAATAAAGTGAGGTATAATGTTTTCACTCCCTTCTAACCATTTCCTAATTATGACTAGTTTGTGTTCCACCTACAATTAATCATACAAGGATGATAAGGGATACTGCCTTCGGGTTTTTTTGCCACTGGTTTGCTTGGCGACCAAAATTTCCCGCGCAACCTAAAATAAACCAAATAATTGGTACTTAGTTTCTGACAATTACTTAGGAACTAACTGAAGCACATACTACTTTATTTACTACTTGCTTTTTTGAAAATACCAATCATGTTCTAATTTGACTGGGTTATAATCTGCGGTAGTGTATATGAATGAACGGCCGCGCATTTTTTATATTTAAGGTGAGGTTTAAGTTGTTCTTACCTCATTCATTTTATCATTTACATTTGCATTTCAACTTGCAACGGCATATGTGATAAAATTTTAATTTGACGACTGAATTGACTAAACATACAACCGTTAGACGCTATAATGTTCAATCAT